CCCTCTCCGGCCATGTATTAAGATGGGGAATAAAAAATTCTCACGTCCCCCATCAAACTTCTGAATGGATTTTGAAAATTTCACTACCAATGATCCCAGGACCACCAATGAGGAGGCTCCAGAAGCTCGGCGGAGGAGGAAATGTTTAAAAGCCGAGATCTCAAAAATCACCCTCTCCGGCCATGTATTAAGATGGGGAATGAAAAATTCTCACGTCCCCCATCAAACTTCTAAATGGATTTTGAAAATTTCATTACCAATGATCCCAGGACCACCAATGAGGAGGATCCTGAAGACGGGCGGAGGAGGAAATGTGTACATCTCGAGATACGAAAAATCACCCTCACCGCCCATGTTTAAGCATTACGAATAAAAAAGTTTTTCGTCCCCCATCAACGAGTCGAAGGAAATTCAAAAATTTTGTGTTCATTGATTTTCAAATCACCAATGACGAACAGGCACGAAGTTGGTCCACTAGCAGACCAAAATTTGGTGACATACATCAATTCTCAACATTCCCATGTATTAGTATAGGAAAAATAACTTTCGAGGGATATCTTTGCAGAAATGCGGAAAGACAACACTCAAATGTGCCAGCAAAGATCCAACGGAATTGTTAGGACAACCCTGAAAGGTTACAAGCAATGCTTAAAAACAACACGCGAACTTGAAAAGCTAATTAGAACATCATAAATATCAACAAATTTGATGAAAAACTGAAATTCATCAATTTTAATTCTAACTGATGCCAAATTTTGCTCAGGCGAACCAGGAAATTGCCTGAATAGCCTATAGGAGTGAAGTGCAGCTACAGTAGAAGAAACGAATTGAAAACACGAAAAGCCAGACACTGCACAAAATACGATGATCGCGACCAATGCAAAAACATCGTTGAAACGTGTAATTTTGACTTTTTCAAATAATAAAGTCGATCACCTTCATTCAGGGAGTAAGGCCAACAAAGGCACAAAACACCCATACGAAGAAGACAAAAAGACTTCTGAGGGAACAAAAACAAAAAACGAGTAGAAGACGAAGCATCAAATTATAAGCATGTATAACAGAGTACAAATTGCGTCTGTAGTTGAAAAGCTTCAAAAACAAAGTGAATATTTCAATAAAACAAATCATTGTTAAGTTGTTGAAAACACATTCGCAATTATTGAGGATACAAGAAGAACTTAACAGCCTCATCTTAACTCAAACACCGACCTCAGCATCGACAGAGCAACACGAATGTCATGCAACGAACGAAGACAGCGATACCAAAATGTGAAATGAAACGACGACCAAAACTAGTCAGCTACTCCCCGCGACAGTACTTGCCGCGCAAATTTAGTTACAGCTGACAACTGAATACATCGTGATATCATTAATCTATCCTTATCATATCTCACTTTAATTCCCAAACCCCGACTCAAGGTGGCTTAACAATTATCTTCCCTTTAAATTGAATTTTGTTTCATCTCATTTTATAATAAGAAGTAATAACCTGTGCTCCTAGTACTATGAGATCTTCTGACTTATTGTACTTATTGTGATATAACCTTCGATAGATACATATCTTATTGATAAACTTATATTTTTTTTTAATCAAAAGCAGTCTTAAATTATTATGTGAATTATTGTAAATGTATCTAATGAAACACTTCAACCACCCGGGAAGACTTCTTCTTGTAAGGTTGTGTGACATCCCTTCATGATGACATTCATTCTAATTAATCATTTGAACCGAATAGATTACATAATTCACCTTGATGATAAAATAGAGCTGCATCATATATTTATTTAACTATGTAAACATTGATGGTAATTAATACCAATCATTGGAATCTTATATCGAGCTAGAAATCAATTGGAGACAAATCAACTGAATAAAATATCCTAATCATGCTCTTATTTGCGCCGATCGGCTTGAGAGATATCAGAAGCTAGGAATCGGAACCAGCATCCTTTAAAGCAAGATAGGTCTTAACCGCTCGAGACGTATCTAAAATAATGAATCCAATCTAAATACAATTGATAGCCAGTAGCGCTAAATATAATTACCAATTGAACAGCTCGCATTACACTAAACGACAATATATCCGTATTATCCATCCGCCAGATACGGTATATTATAGGCCCCAGTATCGGTTTACCAGTTTAAATTAGTTTAATTTTTTTTTCGGTTTACCAGTTTAAATTAGCAACCCAATAGTGGGATGCTGTCAGGGTTTCCCCAGTTGTTGCGATTCTGGCCTCTTTATATAAATAACAAATCCTTTTAGTTTACGAGGTACGGCAATTTTCGAGATTTTTCGAAAATTTCTATTTAACTTATTTTCTTTAAATTTGAAATTATCAACCCTGTAGTTGAGTGCTGTCAGGGTGCTCTCAGGGTTTGCGAATCTTGCCTCCAAATTTCACCTCTCAAATACGTAGTCTTCGAGATTGACGTTTTTTTAGGATTTTTTCAAAGTTTTTCAAAAAAACTTAGTTATAAAAAGTTTCACAAAATTCAAAGTTCTTATCTCTATAGTGAGGCTCTGTCAGGGTACTCTCAAGGGTTGCAAACTTTGCCTTCAAATGTGACTGGTCAAATCCTTGTAACTTTCCAGATTTGACGGTTTTTTTTTCAAAAAGTTTTTGGAAAACTTAAATTTAATTTATTTCCTAATGGGGGATGTCAGAGTATTCTCAGGTTCTTAGGTGTTGCGTATCTTGCCTCCAAATATGAGTGCTCAAATCTAGTTAGTGTACAAGATATAACGTTTGTGATTTTTTCAAAAAATAATTCGGAAAACTTGAAATAAAACTCTTTTTTAAAAATTTGAAATTCCTAACCCTGTAGTTGGGGGTTGTCAGAGTTCACTCAAAGGATGCAGATCTTATTTCCAATATATGCGGTTTCTTATGAGTTGTTAACAATTCGAAGCACCGGAGATGCGTTATTTGCTAATTTGCTTTAATTTTTGTCAAATTGTGTCGCAGTTTTGAAAATTGGAGAAGGATAATGAACAAATTTATATCAAATTTTTTTTTTTCGTATTTATATGTCGAGTTGAGTCATGTCTTTTTTTTCAAATTGTGTTTCTTATTGTGTGTGGATCCTGGATAACTGTAATACAGCCTATCTTGGCTGAAAATCTAATTTCTAAAACGTTTTCAATTTCGCAGATATCGCATAATTTTGAAAATTAGAAAAATTGAAAAACTAAACTTTTGTTGTATTTATTGATTTTTTTGGTTGTTTTGATTCACTTCGTTATATGATGACAGACAAAAATTGTTTTTAGTTCATAGGGAAATATCTTTTTTAAACTATCTTATTGAAAAAAAGTATAATTTTGTTTTTCTTTTTCATTCTTCCTTGATTTTTTTTTGTGACTTGATTCCATTAAAATGCTAAATTGGATTTTTATTCCTGTGAGCTCAGTTTTCAAATTAATATTTTTTGAATACTTTTTGAATTTTTAAAAACCAGAATTTGTTTTAAATAAAACTCCAAATACCAGGTCCGTGAAGTTTTGGAGATATCGATTGACAACATTTTTGTTTTTAACTCCACGAGAGTTTTCCAAATTTTTGATTGCCGCTTGATTAACTTTTTGAGTACTTCGTTAACGCAGTCATTATAATTTCTCTGTAATTGTGGTTACTTGACTTACTAGCTTTCCTTTCATCTTTTGTCTGTTACCTCGCAATGTTATTTATGTGTGGTATTGCAAGTGGTGTAAAGCTTCGCTTCGACTTGTGTAAATCTAAAAAATCAATTTGCTTAATTGTGCAACTTCAACAGCCTTTTCGAGGTGCCTTCTCTCTTGGTCTAGTGATACCGCTTTTGCCTTGGATACTTAGGTTGGGGTGTCAAATCCCAGTTGGACTTAATTTTTTTTGATAGTTCTCAAAAGTATTAGTTTGATTTTTTGTTTCGTGAAAATTTTGAAAAGTCGGGTTTTCTGTTGTATTTACTTTTTGTCGACCTAATTTGGTATAAAATGAAATTTCTTTGCTTCAATCAATTTCTGTAATAATGGAATGTCGTACTGTCAAATGTCATTTTTTTGCTTCAATGGTTTCTGCTGATGTTTTTTTTTCAGTTTGTAGTGATGCTTTAAAAATTAAAATTGAATAATAAATAATTTTCATCTGATATTTAAGTTTTGAATTTTTTTAAGTAAACTGTGTTTTTATTCAAATGGAATATATAATTGCAATAAAATTCATTTTCTTTGATTATTAGTTGGTTTTTGCCTCTTTTTTTCAGGATTCTAAATAATCTAACGTCATAATTTTAAATCAAATTACTTTCAATTTTCCATGTCAGAAAAAAACTACCTTTTCTCATTCATGGGATTACATGACATTAAGTTTTACGTACTTGGTTTATGGTTCAATTCCCATAGTAATACCTAAATATTGAAAAATGAGTAAAACATTATTTTTAGTCTATAATGGAAATCACTTTATTTTCTGAAAAATTTATTATAGCAGGTGTAATCCAGCTGGAGAATTTTTTTAAGATAACAGCTTTTCTAACAAAATGGCTGAATAAATTTCAAATGTGCACTTTCTGCAACCAACAGTGCTTTTTATAGCATTTTTGAATTTAAAATATCCATTCTATTTACGCAAGCTTGCTAGCGATCGTGGCTAATATTATGAACTAAATAAAAGTGCTCTTTTGGTGGAACGTTCTTGTCGCAGTATTGGCAGTTCAATAGCATGTATTATCCAATTTATCAACGACTAGTGTTTGAATTCTGTAACCGCAAAAGGCGCAGTTGTGTTGGGCAGTCTACTTGAAAACTTTGATGCACGCTGAATAAGGTTCGATTCGCATAAAGGTTTTTTTTCAAAACACTATTTTTTTATTTTGCTGTTTTTGATCTCTTTAAGCTTCCTGTTGGTGATTTTTTTTGCTTGCTTGCGAATTGAAGCTTCGCCTCTTGGTCGAATTGTGTTTCTTATGTTGGTTGTACAGATTTATGAGTGTTTCAAATGGAAATTCCAGGTAATTTTTGAATATGTAGTTGACTGACAACAATTGATGTGATATTGCTGCTTGTTCGACGAGCGAAGAAACAATGTTGCAGCATGGACTGTTTTCTAAACGATAACTCAATAAGTGACGTACAATCAGAACATTCTAGAATATTGTGGAATGAACTAGAAGAAGGGGAAGTGGGTCCCCTGCCGCCCGTCTGTTCGATATCGTCTGCTGGTTGTTCGTCTGAGGCGAATGCCAGTTTGAGGTTTGTGCGTGCATTGAGAGAGGGAGCGAGGTTCACGGGCGAGCAGAGTGGAACTACTCATAAATGTCCGGTCGAGGTTAGTTGAATATTTACCGGAGAAATAAAGAAATATTTTTTCAAGAATACTTCAGTTTCTCATTTGAAAACCTCTTGTGAAAGTTTGACATTTGGGTTAGTTGAACATGTACTGACGAAATGAAGGTTTATGGTTGGGATCTTGATGAAAAGCAAGTATGAAAGATGGGCCCATATTTTGAGACAATTTGAAAAACAAATACTCACCCTGTTTTCGAAGATTTAAGCACTGAAAAATTCTTCAAGGATCCATCTTAATTTTAGGGACTTATTTATTATACTTGTAGCAAGTACAATTCTGTTTCTTGTTCATGTGAAAGCAACAAGTTTTGAAAACGAAAATTTGAAGCTATTGATTGCCTCACTTCAGATGAGATGAATTTGAGTTCTTAAACCTGATTACACATGAAAGTGTATTAATTTTTTGTTAATTTTTTCAACTTGGCTATTCTAGATTACAATAAGCAAGGGTATTGTAACTGGGTACTAGACTTGAATGTAAGCGCGTTGTAATCGGGTACTAAAAATAAATTATTTCACCGGACTGATCTCCTGGAGCCTGGAATCCCTCATCTGCTTCCTATATTATAATTTCAATCAACCAGCCGGTGCATATGGGGGAGAGGTTACACGTCTGCTTGAGACGGCAAAGGCTTGTGGTTCAAATTCAGCCGTGACCTGTTTTTTTTGCAAACTGAAAATTTTCGACTGATTTAAATTTTTGTCTGCTTATTTTTGCCGGCTTAGTTCCCGCAGAAAGGACTTTTTTTTGAAAGTTCGCCTTTTTTTCATACCCTTTGGGCTTTTTTGGGATTTTTATGACAAAAACGATTTTTGTAGGTTTTTTTCAATTATTGATTTTTATTTGATTTCAACCACGGTCATTCATTTTTGTATCGCAATTGATGCGAAGCTCAGCTTTGTCTCTGTGTAATTATTTGGAATGTTATGGGATCAAGTACAGTTGTTTCAAAACAAAAAAAATCGCTGTATAATGTGATTTGATTTGATTGTTCGAGACATTTTACAACATTGCGGATGAGTATTTGAAATCTATGAGCATAATTGGGTTTTGAAAAAGTTGCAAAGTTTGTGTTTCTGCATCGGCAATTGAATAAATTTAAATAAAATTAATTCAATTGCCTCAAGATTTTTTTAAAAAAACTAGTGTCTCGAGCAGGAAGGGTCTAGCTTTTTGTGGGGTGAGGGTGGCGGATTGTCCAAAAAAGATTTCAAAAAAAAGATGACGAGATAGTTTTTTGAGCACTCTCAAAACATATAGCTTTTTTGAGCAGTCAAAACATAATAAAGTCCCCCTGCCCCCTGTGTGCCAAAATTTTGGATGGTTTTGGTTTAAAAATTGTTTTTTTTTGGTGTGCTCATTTCCCTCAAAATATTGCTTATTGACGCCAAAGGAGTCTTTAGAAAAATTTTCAGGTCGGTCAGCCAAAATAAATAAAAAACATGAAAACGTGAATAAAAAGCATGGAAAACAAAAGAACTGTTGTTTTAAAACTAAAAAAAAGACAGAGTAAAAAAAACGGTGTATCCTTGTCCTTTTTCTCTTGCGCTGTATCATAAGATCTGAAAAAATGAAGGACGTTTGAATCTGAACTTGAATGATGTTTTTATGAGTGAAAACCATGTTTTGCGTTTCATGTGACATTAAAATAATCGCAATTATAAATTGGGTGAAGAATTACTTGAGGACATAATAATTATGATAGTTACCACATTCATAAAGTTTGTTTCGTAGCTTTTTTCCATAGTATAGGGCTATATACGAACGGCCAAAAAGCTCAACTGACTTAGACAACATCTATTTGTTTATTTTGTGAACAGAGTATGCACAAATACAACTAGATTTTGGTATTTAATCACAGGTTTTCAATTACTGGATGGGTCAAATTATCTGGAGGGTCCCAGTCTTGGGCTCCGTAAACTATCAGGGGCTATCTGATTTTGGGCGATATCAAGTACTTGAATCCGGATAATTAATTTATTGGACCGTTTTTGTTACCCGAATTCACATATTTCTCTCAAGGGTATAGATTTTCAAGAGTGATGAATGTAGCGTACTGAATATTCATATATAGGTCTTGCTGGGCTCTTTCGTGATGGTTTTTCATCGTTTTTTTTCAGGAAAAGTCTTAAAATTTGTTCACTCTAAAGTTTGATTTTTTACGGTTTGACTTTTGATTTCTTTTTAAATTCAATTCATTTCCGTTGTTGAAAGGAAGGCTAAATGCTCTGTCGAAAGTGCAAAAGTGTAAATGTCACTTAGAAAGTCATCGACTTCTATTTTCAAAAGTCGATTTTAACTTCCCAGCGGAAAAAAGGAGTTTGTCTAGTGATCCAGCTTTCTCATAATGCGATAGTTTTATCTTTTAAAGTGTCACTCATAAATTGTTCTTACAATACAAAGAGCTTTAAGGTCATCTGTGTTTTCTTTGAAGTTCGCAAACTGAAGTTTTTCATAAAAACTAAGTCAGTGTTTTTCTGTTTCCTTGCGTTCATGACTCTTTTCCAACTGTCGGTTGGCTGTTTTTCTTTACCATCCATCGTTTCATGTTTTAGGTGGTGATTGACAACATCAATTACGAAAACTGCACCCTGTTTGGCAGACTCACAATTTGCAATTTGTACCCGGAAAGAAAATCAGAGACAACCACTTTCTTCACTGGCGAAATAATCAGCGAAAAGAACCCTTTCCTCACTCGAAAGTGGGAGGCCGACTTTGACATCGACTTACTCCATTGGTCCAAATTTTCAGTGCACTTTAAAAAGTTTGAAACCACTTTTAACGATGATAATTTTGATTATGAAGCCTTACTTAATGCAGACGCAGTTTTTATGCGATGGAAGGAACTTCTGGTTGTTCCTCGAGGAACTACCGATTCTGAAGAGTCTGAAATTTGCTCCTTCTCTGGGTTTTACTACATCTGTATGGATAAAGAGTCGGGGTCCATAGAAGGATATTATTACCAAAAAAGTGCTAATGTAAATGACAGTGGATACCAGAGTCTGAAGCTGGACTTTCAGCCGGATGAATTCATGGGTGTATTCCAGATTAGATAAAACTAACTCTTCGCTTGAATAAACAAATGGATGCAATCTAGTTAAAATAATGAATATTAGAAGACATTTTGGAAGAATATAGTTGCTTAAATTTTAAATTAGACTATTTTTCTATCGATAGAAAGTTATAAATTTTCGAGAAACATTTTTTCTAATTATATACCAGAAGTGAGTATTTGTGGTTGTTCAATTGTTAATTGTATGGCTGATTTTCCTTGTGAGGGACCTGAAGAGACAGCATATGCAGAAGAAATTGGAACTTGGAAATCAACACAGATTCTTACTTATATTTGAACAGGTTAATATGGGGGGGGGGGGCTTATCTTGAAACTGTTAAATTACGTGAAGAAAACGGCTTTGGCCGATCAAAGTCTGGATCGAGCCCCGGTTGTGGCGTGCTATGCTCAATCTTTTTTATAATTGTTACCTAATCTGACTCTTTCACCCAGTGAGAGGTACTATTGCTTGGGATTGGTTTTTTTTTTGCGCGATTGACCTAAATTATGAAGGTTAGTTTCAATCCTTCTGAAGACTCAATAAAACAGCAGAAAATTTTATTAAAAAAGGAATTGTTGTGAAAACAGTTTGGATGAAGTCAGCTTGGAGTCAAATCGCAGGCATCTCGAAGTAGCCGATTTCCCGAGTTTTTAAGATAAGGATGTCGTATTCATTTTTTCAAGTAAAAATAAATTGAAGGTACCGAAAATGGTTCCAGAGGATAGAAGAGTTTGTTAGCGTGCGGAAATCATCTGGAAGGCTGCTTTAGGGAAACAATACAGAGCAATCACGTACTCAATAAGTTTGCTTTATTTTTGTTTACAATTTATTTTAACACTTTTGGTACACAAGCAGAGCGTATGCCATAAGATCAGTCAAAATTTTTTCTACCCTAATTCACACCTTTCTTTGCTCATTTTTTGAGTTAAATGTCAGTTCAAATGTCAGTTTTGACGCGCGTTGTTTATTCGTGCATGGTATGTACAGTGCTGATTTAAATTATCCTGACAACCAAAAATTTCTCAACCAAAATGTTACCCAAATTTCAACCAAAATTTTACCCCAAAATTCTCAACCAAAATTTGACCCCAAAAATGGGTCATTTTGGCGTTTTCAATTAATCAAGAATTACACTTAAACTACGTTGATAATTGATACTTTAAACAGCCCAACAAAGTTCTAGAAGGGTTGAATCTTCAAAAATTTGAGTGAATTGTTTAAAATTTGTTTTTAATCAAAGATTTAGGGTTTTAAATAGTAAAAATCACGTTTCTTGACTATCAAGCAAGAATATTTTCTCTTATACAGGTTTTTGGGCCCTCCTTTGGTACTTTTCAAGACAACAATTTTTGGCCGACCGACCCTAAAATTCTTCTAAAGGCGCCCTGGGCGCCAATATATACTAACTTTGATCGAGAACGCGGGCCAAAACGCGATTTTTTTGAAAAAATTTTCCAAAAGGTGCCCAAAAACAGCTTTTTTTGACCTGTTTTTTCAAAAATTTGCCTGCGGCGCGGAAAACTCGGCCGAAACACTCTAGGAAAGCTCGGTAAAGCTATTTGGTCGACTTAAAAAAAAAGGTCAAATAAGTTGTCATATAAACACATAGTAGGTGCAGACTTCTTAAAACTAACTGATTAATTTGATTTATAGTTTATAAAGAATCCTGACAAACAGGAGCATAAAATAACAGTATTTTTCTATGGACGGTTTACTGATTTTTCCCATAAATTACTAAGCAAAAGCTGAAATAGCTTGAATACATAAAAATCTTCAGTTAAGGGACCTGTGCTCCATTTCTTGACTTAGAAAAATTAATGCCCGTATGTAGAAACTTTTAGATAATGGGAAAGTTCTCATCGCATTAAAATGAGATATGCTGCCCTTAGTAGGAGCAAAGAAGCAATCGAATAGATAAATTTTTAGCGCAATCGCGTTAGAACTTTCAAGCGGAATTTGATTTTCAAAAACTTTAAGCATTCAATTTGTGTAACTTTTGAGATGGTACTGTTTTCATTAGAGTTCAAGATTGATTGTGAACTATGTTAATTCTAATTAATTATTCATAACATTGCTTAAATAATTTTGATTATTGGATTAGGCAACATATTTGTTCGAAAAAAGTCAATGAAAAAATTATTTTTTTTAAGTTCAATTTTGGTATTGTTTTTACAGCAATTGATCAATCATAGGCTTATGCTACTGTACAAGAATAAATTGATCGCTAAATTTATCATCCTTTTGGCTTGCTTTGTTAGAAAAACCGACAGTGGGTTTGAAATTTTGGGCGAATTTGGTGAATTATTTTTAACTTGGGTTTTTGATTTGGAAAAAAAAGATTTTCTTTATTTTTGTGGTATATTAAACTAGACAACACTTTTGAAAGGTTTTTTTTTCCTGTAATTTTTTCTTCGCAAGATCAATTCACCACGAAAAATTGATGGTTAGTACTTCGAAGCTAGTTAGGTCATCGAGTAGTTGTTGGTTACGAATGGTGGTTGTCTAATCTTTGTGCAATCGAGAATTACTTATTAAAATTAGTTCTGAACTTTAAATCAGCCCTCTCCGGCACCACTAGTTAAGAACAAATAAAGCTGCAAAACGTGATTTTTTCCTTTACAGAATTTTGTTTAAGTTTTTCTAGTTCAAAATTAAATGCAGTCTTAATACACATCACAAACATCAAGAAGTATGAAGGAAAAAAATTGAAAAAAGCTGAAGAACAGCTAGTCTTCAAAACTTTTGTAAGTTTTCGTAGAAGTTTGTTTTAGGCAAAGATGCCAGACATCTTAGCATAAAATCCACACCTGAAGAAAACAAAGACAACAATCTTTGAGCAGTCACCACAAACCATGCTAGGGCAACTCAGCTGAACATTTTTGAGCAGACAAAATTTGAGCAAAAATCTTATGTTAGTTAAAAAAATTTTGAACACTTTCAAATTTTTTAAACATTTCAGGTCTACATTTCAATTCTACCCTGAAACTACATTGAACAACATTTGCACTAGCAACTTCAATGAATTTTGCTTACAAAACAAGAAGAATTTGTGATTATTCAATTGAGTCGACAATCTTTGAGCAGACACATCTTGAGGCGGAAAAAAATACTTGAATTTGATCAAAATTTAATTCGGAAAAGTCGGAACATCGGAAAAAAATTGATGACAGAAAAAATTTGCTGCGATGAAATTGTTTGAAATTTCAAATTTTATTCTTCAACCGACCTTATTTATTCAAATTTCAAAAAATATATTTTTTTGCCGTCAAGCCGATTTGAAATAGTTTCACGAATCCGACAAAACAAGCCAAAATCTTCTAAGCAGAACAAATTTTCTGAGCCTAAAAACAAAAACAAACGAAAAACACAAATAATTTTTAGCAAATTTATTAACTACGAGAATCAGTCAACGACATTTGAAATAACAATGATAATTACTTGCAGGGCAAAATAACTATCGAAAAATTAAAATTAATTTTTTAATTATACTTTTTGTAATTTCATTGCAGTAGCTCATGGTTTCCTTGATTCAATTTCGAGTCTTTCAGATGTTAAAACAGTAATTCTCAAACGTTTCTAAAGAAATCACCATTCTTCCTCGTTGAGATTAATGAACGTAATTAAAACCTTCATTTAGGTTTTGATGATTTTTTTCATAGGAAAGTCATAAAATTTTTTCACGCTCAGCTTAGATTTTTTTTGCGATTTGGATTTCGATTTTTTATTTCATTTCATTTCCATCGTTTAAAGAAAGACAAACTTCACGATCGGACAGCAAAAATGTAAAGGTCACAAAATATGATCGATTTCTAATTTTGAAAATGGATTTTAATGTTCAGATTTCCCACCGGTATTGAAAATTTAATTTTTTATCCAGTTTTCACAAATTGGGTTAATTTATTCAAAAAAGCCACCATCATAAATAGTTCATAAAAATCAAGTTTTTTTTTTTACAAAACCTCCCTTTTTTGTCCTATCGTAACAGCGAAGCTATGAGATTGCATAAAATCATGTTAAAAAATTAGACAAAAGTTATCACATTGAGATTTTCTCCTGCTCAAGATAGCCTAAAATTTCAAGTTAAGAATTTGAAAATTTTTCACAAAACAGATCGATTGTTTTCTGCCTTTTTTGCGTTCAATACTCTTTTTCAACTGTCAGTTCGCTATGTTCATTGTTTTGGTGAGGTGAAAAAATTGTTCATCTGAAAAAAAATCGGTCATAAAGAGACTTTAGTAAGTAATCAGAAATTAAAAATCTTTTTGTTTGTAATGTTAACTGTGGCTAGCGGATCAACAATAGGGTTTAGAAATAAGTTGTCATATAAACACATAGTAGGTGCAGACTTCTTAAAACTAACTGATTAATTTGATTTATGGTTTATAAAGAATCCTGACAAACAGGAGCATAAAATAACAGTAATTTTCTATGGATGTTTTACTGATTTTTCCCATAAATTACTAAGCAAAAGCTGAAATAGCTTAAATACATGAAACTCGTCAGTAAAGGGACCTGTGCTCCATTTCTTGACTTTAAAAAATTAATGCCCGTATGTAGAAACTTAGATTATGGGAAAGTTCTCGTCGCATTAAAATGAGATATGCTGCCCTTAGTAGGAGCAAAGAAGCAATCGAATAGATAAATTTTTAGCGCAATCGCGTTAGAACTTTCAAGCGGAATTTGATTTTCAAAAACTTTAAGCATTCAATTTGTGAAACTTTTGAGATGGTACTGTTTTCATTACAGAGTTCAAGATTGATTGTGAACTATGTTAATTCTAATTAATTATTCATAACATTGCTCAAATAATTTTGATTATTGGATTACGCAACATATTTGTTCGAAAAAAGTCAATGAAAAAATATTTTTGTAAGTTCAATTTTGGTATTGTTTTTACAGCAATTGATCAATCATAGGCTTATGCTACTGTACAAGAATAAATTGATCGCTAAATTTATCATCCTTTTGGCTTGCTTTGTTAGAAAAACCGACAGTGGGTTTGAAATTTTGGGCGAATTTGGTGAATTATTTTTAACTTGGGTTTTTGATTTGGAAAAAAAAGATTTTCTTTATTTTTGTGGTATATTAAACTAGACAACACTTTTGAAAGGTTTTTCTTTCCTGTAATTTTTTCTTCGCAAGATCAGTTCACCACGAAAAATCGATGGTTAGTACTTCGAAGCTAGTTATTTCATCGAGTAGTTGTTGGTTACGAATGGTGGTTGTCTAATCTTCGTGCAATCGAGAATTACTTATTAAAATTAGTTCTGAACTTTAAATCAGCCCTCTCCGGCACCAATAGTTAAGAAAAAATAAAGCTGCAAAACGTGATTTTTTTCCTTTAAAGAATTTTGTTTAAGGTTTTCTAGTTCAAAATTAAATGCAGTCTTAATACACATCACAAACATCATAGTAGTATGTAGGAAAAAAATTGAAAAAAGCTGAAGAACAGATAGTCTTCAAAACTTTTGTAAGTTTTGGTAGAAGTTTGTTTTAGGCAAAGATGCCAGACATCTTAGCATAAAATCCTCACCCGAAGAAAACAAAGACAACAATCTTTGAGCAGTCACCACAAACCATGCTAGGGCAACTCAGCTGAACATTTTTGAGCAGACAAAATTTGGGCAAAAATTTTTTCAACATTTTCAAATTTTTTAAACATTTCAGGTCTACATTTCAATTCTACCCTGAAACTACATTGAACAGCATTTGCACTAGCAATTTCAATGAATTTTGCTACAAAACAAAAAGAATTTGTGATTTTTCAACTGATTCGACAACCTTTGAGCAGACACATCTTGAGGCGGAAAACAAATACTTGAATTTGATCAAAATTTAATTCGGAAAAGTCGGAACATCGGAAAAAAATTGATGACAGAAAAAATTTGCTGCGATGAAATTGTTTGAAATTTCAAATTTTATTCTTCAACCGACCTTATTGATTCAAACTTCAAAAAATATATTTTTTTGCCGTCAAGCCGATTTAAAATAGTTTCACGAATCCGATAAAACAAGCCAAAATCTTCTAAGCAGAACAAATTTTCTGAGCTTAAAAACAAAAACAAACGAAAAACACAAATCATTTTTAGCAAATTTATTAACTACGAGAATCAGTCAACGACATTTGAAATAACAATGATAATTACTTGCAGGGCAAAATAACTATCGAAAAAGAAAAATTAATTATTTAATTATACTTTTTGTAATTTCATTGCAGTAGCTCATGGTTTCCTTGATTCAATTTCGAGTCTTTCAGATGTTAAAACAGTAATTCTCAAACGTTTCTAAAGAAATCACCATTCTTCCTCGTTGAGATTAATGAACGTAATTAAAACCTTCATTTAGGTTTTGATGATTTTTTTCATAGGAAAGTCTTAAAATTTTTTCACGCTCAGCTTTGATTTTTTTTGCGATTTGGATTTCGATTTTTTAATTCATTTCATTTCCATCGTTTAAAGTAAGACAAACTCCACGATCGAACAGCAAAAGTGTAAAGGTCACAAAATATGATCGATTTCTAATTTTGAAAATGGATTTTAATGTTCAGATTTCCCACCGGTATTGAAAAATTTTTTTTTCCAGTTTTCACAAATTGGGTTAATTTATTCAAAAAAAGCCACCATCATAAATAGTTCATAAAAATCAAGTTTTTTTTTTACAAAACCTCCCTTTTTGTCCTATCGTAACAGCGAAGCTATGAGATAACAATGATAATTACTTGCAGGGCAAAATAACTATGGCGTGTCAACTATTCCGTCAAATCATAAGTCGACAAACAACAGTCAGATTTTTCTTTTTTTCCCGGAAAAAATCTATTTCATACACTGAAAAAAACAAAGTCCGGACTGGACTCGAACCCCAGACCATAGAGTGTGCAAAGGCAACTGCATTTCCTCGAGACTAAGTGGGGAGAGCCTGGAAATTGCGATGGTTTGATGTTAAAGCAGCCTCAATTTCTTACGAATGTGTCAGAAAAGTTGTTTACGGGGAAAAAAGTCTTGTCCATGATTACAAGACATTTTCTTTCGCAACGGCAATTTATGAAAGCCGTTATGCATGAGATTGCATTCGCTTTTTCTCTGTCTAAGTTAACGTTCTTCTGACATGAGTTTTTCACTAAATTAGATATCGGTTCCCGCCATGATTGTCTCATGGAAACCCAAGGACCAGGACAGTCCGTGGGAAACCATCACCAAGGGTTCCTAGAAGCCAGCATCATTTGCAAGTCTAGTTTACAGGCAGGCCATCAACTACCGGCTAACAATGCTTGAGTTTTTTATTTGGCTCTCAAATTGACTAATTTTTGACATTGTACCGAACTACTTCTTACATTCTGCAACAAAGCAAGAAACAAAACACGTTGGATTCTTAGATGAGGTAGTCAGATGGCAATAATTTGGAGGAAACAGCTGTTAACTACATTGAATTAATAATTTGTCAAAAAAAAATCAAATATTTGTTGGCTGAAAATCTGTGACAGTAATTGGAGCTGCAGTTTTATTTTAAAAAGCACAGTAAGATATTTTGTCAAACAAAAAAGCTCTTCAATGAACATTATTAATATTTTGGTCATAAAAATTATAAATAAACTCTTTTGAAGCTGTTTAATATTTTTAAAATGCAGTTAGGATGCAATTTTTTGCGTTAAAGTGCGATTTTATGCCTAAAAATTACAGCGTAAAACAGATTTTTGCACACTAATGGAAGAGTTTTCAAAATGAAAAAACTACTTTAGTTTGATTTTCATAAGGTAATTGATTGATTGATTGGGATTTTATTTGGCTTCGAGGCCCCAGCTATCCTAAAAAATGGTTTTCATCTAGGTACCTCATAATTTATATGCATATGAGAAAAAGTGGTGCAAATTTGTACAAACTAGTTTGATGCAATTAGAATTTTCTCCAAAAAAATATTTATTCACCCAATTTTATGTACTGTTTTGTGCTTAATAATTTGTGCAAACATTTTTCAGACATTTATATTAAACCAGTTAGTAGTATTATCTGTAGCACAAATAATTAATTACACAACAGTACATAGAATTGGGTGAATAAATTTTTTTCTTGGATGAAAAAATCGATTTGCTTTGTTACATTAGGATGTACCATTTTTTTGTTGATGTTTCGAAATAACTGATTTTTTGTGAACTGAACGTTCTGCAATTAAAATATTGAATCTCATTTTTGCATATTTGGTCATAGCGAGCTCAAAATTTGGTTAGTGATTTCTGGGAGATTAGTTCCAAAAACTTCTTTAACGAGCCTGATATTCTGTGATGGTTGAGACTAAAGCTGCGGAAAAATAATAGAGACAAGCATTAAAACGTATCTTTGTCCTTATCAGTTTTCGTTAAAAAATTATTAATGACATGAGGAAACGAAATAAATGCAAAAATTTAAATTAATAAATAAAGTAACACAAATACCTTAAGGGGAAAAACATTCTTTGGATCTCAGCAGGTGTCTTTTTTTGTCACTTAGAAAACCTGAAAAGCTACTGAGCAATTTTGTTTAGCTTATAAGTTATAAAAAATTGAGTATTTGTTGAGGTCCAAAGAAAGTTTTTCCATTCACGGTATTTGTGCTATATTTTATGCAGTTTTTTTTTTCAAGTAAGAGACAATGCAATGAAACAATAAACTGCAAAAAAAATGATTTATTCAGAGCTAATATAACGCGAAAATTAGAAACCAATTTTTCTCAACACAACAGCTGAAAAGTTTCATTTTAATAACAGATTTGACAAGCTCTACGCTTTTTGAGTGGTGATTCAGTTGATAATTGAAAAACTCGAAAAATTTCTTCATTTGAAATCTTTTTACATGTCTCGAGCACATCTTCATTTGCAGGAAAAAAACCTGAAAGCTTTTTTCTTTATATAAAATTTTCCTTCAACTGTGTTTGAAACTGCCATGCAAAAAATCTTCTTTTTTAAAAAAAAAAGTAGTGATGAAAAAACGGATAAAATAATGAGTAAGCCACAAGCAAAGACAAACAAAAACAAGGATAGCCGGTTATTGTGCACAGAATATTGGGATCATAGTCCAAAAAATATATAATTTTTGTTCTTCAAGTTAGTGTCATTTTTTTGTGTGGTGTGGTGTTTTAGTAAAATCTGAACGAAAAGAGAGGAATTAGGGTATGTTTGAAATCCATAGTCAAATAGGCCAATTGGTAATCAGTTTCTGTAGAAAAATGGCTTTAAAAAAAACGAAATAAAAACCGTTAAAGAAACTAAAGAATTTTTCTCTTTTGCAGAAATTTTTTGAAATTTCGAAGTTTTTGATTTACAAAATCGCGCTTTTCGATTAAGCTTAAACAAGCTATTTTAAACCTGCAAACTTTATTTTGACAAACTTTATTAGCTCATATTAGACCAAAAATCAAAACTTTTAAACAGTTTTTTCTCGACACTGCGAAATGTTTTCAACATTTTTAAATGTCGTTCGAATCACGACTAAAAAGGCTTTAATATGATATATGACTGGACCCATTTCGATGATTGTTTGTAGTACATGGTTTTGGGTGGAAAAAAATTTTAAAAAAAACTAAAACAGACCCGAATACATTATTCCTCCACGTTGGGGAACTTCAAATAATCGGAACAAAAACTAATCTCATGCGGTGGGATTGAATAAAAACAATGACATAAAAAGTTGGGAAGTATTTTTTCCAGTTAATTGTTTCATGTTTCTGTGAGACTCAATCCGAGACACGCGGGCATTAGTAAAAGTCAAAAAGGAAATAAGTTGCGATTGCAGTCATGATTGCCACGTGAAATCCCAAGAAGATCCTGTCCAGAACCATCGCCAGGTGTCTCCAGAAGTCACCATTGTTTGCAGATCTGTTCTTCATTTCTTCTTCAGGGTTCATTTCTTCTGCAGGGCCATTTTTGTTCTCTTCCACTTGTTTCTCAGTTTTTGAGGCGGTTGGGCTGATGCTGTTTTTCTTCTGAGAAGGAAACGGCTCTAAGCCGATGAAGTAAACCACTTTAGACGCGGATACTGCTCGTAGATACTTGTTTGCCTTCGCGTTTTCATCGGTGAAATGCAGTTTGACAACTATAACAGCGAAGCCATAAATAAAAATGACAAACTCGAAGGTTAACCGATTGATCTGAAGCTATTTTTACACCAAGATTATTTTATTAAGGTATAGAACATTTATTCACCAGCTCTCGAAGATGTTAAATTCTTTAGAGATAACCACTTCTTTGATTTTTTGAGAGAGAATTGTGAGCCTCGAACCTTTCGTCAATTTTAGGACGAATCATTGTGAGCCTCGAACCACCTACCTTTCGTCTGACATGACTATCAATCCCCATTAAATTACAATTCAGGTCCACACTAGCTTTGCAATTGTACTTACCCATAATTGCCAGGATGCACATGAGGGTCATTTGGAAGGAGACGGCGCCGGCGAAGTAGACCAGGGTGGGGATGTGGAGAGAGTTGCGGGGAAAGATGGAGAGCATCGTTCCAAAATTGACTACCTGAGCGAGCAGCAGAGTAACGGCGAAGCTTACTTTCTCGCCCGACTCTTCAACAAAAACAGATGAAGAAAATCAAGTTAATAATTTTACCCAAAAAATAAAATCAAACTCTCCCCCCTCCCCCACCTACAGATAGACCAAGCTAAGATTTTCCAACCAGCAGTTCCATTTTAATTCGCATTTGCTAAGCGCTGCATGTAAAATGCTCGATTCTGATGGGCTGAAATTTTACAACTTAGAACCAAGTTAACCTTCTCCCCCCGCCCCAATTGCTTCGGGGGATGTTTACTTGGTCCAAAAAATAAACAGCACGTCAGCTAGAACTCTGTAAGCCGTTGATTAAACAAATCAGTTGCAAATACCATGAGGACTAAATATTACTAGGGACGCTATCAGAACAACAATTGTCTCACAAGGCAAGGTATGTCTGAAATGGTTGTTAGTGTTTTATTTGACAAGATCCTCACTCCATTAACAAAGAAAAAAAATTCCTAATAAGTGCCAGCTTAACGGTTGAATTTTGCTCCAATAGAGCTTAAAACTTCAACCTATTAACAGCTACCCTAGTTTTGGGGTCTCTGTTTATTCCGTCGGCAACTTGAAAGCCCATCATTAACTACAAATTTTTATAATTTTGAATACATTTTTATAATAAAAAAATATGTTCATTATAAATTGTTAATAACTTTTATTTCCGTTTTCATAATTTGAGATGTGCGAATTTGGGTGGAAATAAACACTCTTTTTAAAACTGATTAAGTCGGTTGAAGGTTTGTACCTGGTGGAAGGAAGAAAGTGAAGATAGAAAGAAAGTAGAGCAGGACATTTGGGTAGATGAGGAAAATCCCGAAGAAGAGAGATCTTCTCCTCAGAGGAACTGCAGTTGTAAATATACGTCGTGTTCAGGCAGACAGAATAAAACGTTTTCTATAGCTCTTAGAAATTACCATTTTTAATATTCCAAAAACTAAACTAATTTTTTTTCTATGATGGCGACAGGCGAACGAGTTTTTATCTTCCAAAAGAAGGTGTTCCAGAAAATATTTACTATATTTACTTATTAAAAATAATTTTGTGGTTTTATAAGCTATTCCTGACAAAAAAATGGCAAGCGGGGGGTGGTGAACAGGTTAAATCGAAAGGTCGGATGTTCGAGGCCCACCATGTGGAGCCTGATCTAAACTATATTTTATGATAGGATAAATTAGATATTTTACCACTGTAAAGTTTTTAATATTAACCAATCTTGATCCATCTAACTAACAACCCACTTATTTGTAAGTGCTGAAATTACTTGTAATTTCAGCACCAGAGAGATTTGAATTTAACTTAGAAATTAGTTGTCTCTCCAAGAGAACTTCAGCAGCCGCAACAAACCAGTATACCCTAGATCTATTGAGCCTAGCAGAGACTAGTTAAACACCCTGAGACTAGAAAGTATAAGAGTAAGATTAGGATCGGTATTAGACTAAGAAGTTGCACGATTCTATCCGGCCGAAAATAAAATAGCGTGACGAGCAGACGGTGTACCCTATCCGAAGTTACTCTATGAGTTAACCACATCGGTCATAACTCATCTGGTGCGACCATAAGTATCGAATAAGACCTTAATAGCTTAGAATTAACCAAAAATAGATTAGAATTTAGACAAAACATTTTCAAAATGTTATACGATAATAATTTAATCGAAATGTCTCTACGACTCAATAGATCAGAGCCGATATTCCGAACGATAATAGAACTACCCGGAATTGGAAGAAGACCTCGAACAAGAGACGACATACGACAAAGTAGAAACTTACCAAACAGTTTTATGATCGTACAGCAAAAGCCATCACAAACTTTTATATTTAGAATCTTATTAGCAATGAATTTAGATTTTCGTCTGCAAACATAAAATTTTGAAGTCAATCTTCATGATCATTTCAGGCGCTAAACAAAATTATTAATATACAATAACGATTGATAAAAAGATCTCAGATCGTTTTCTTAATTTCTGCAGTCTTATATAAAGCATGTTTGAAAAATATTTATTGAAAATGAGAATAAAAATTAGTAGCATGACAATAAATTGTTAAAAATCATAAAATCATCTGTTGTCCCAGCTTCATCACCTAAACATAACAGCAATCATAAGCTCACTAATATCATTAAAAAACTAAATCTTTTTCTTAAATAAATTTAAACCACATTAAACTTAAATTCACTTAATTTTAAAATTAGATCATCAAGGCTTATCCTTGGATCTCAATAAATTTTCTATTTCACTAAATTTAAAACCTGATCATCCAGGCCTATCCTTGAATCAAAAAGAACAATTTTGTTCTCCCCCAACCACTTAACAAGTGTCTAACGACCTCAAACGTCAATTCACTATCCAACCCTTCCAAAAGACCCAAGACCAATAGAAATTTTTAAATAAAACTAACCATTCAAATTAGGATAAACAGTGAAGAACTTCGGTTGTTCATCCTTCACTTGAACCCTCCTCTTACCAGACCCAGGATAGATCTTAGATTTAGTAAGTATAAAAAAGTACCTAACGAACTACTTGCGTTCTAATTATACCTGAACCTTGTGGATCGATTTACTATTCTCCAACCCTTGAACACAATCACTACCCCTAAGTAAGATTAAGTAAATTAACACCTTAGCTTAGACTAGCCACGAGAAAGTAAAAAATCATTCCTCGGAATCGATATACTTTTCTCTCCAACCCTAAATAAAAAGACCCAGGTTAAGCTAACCAAAAAATCGTGAGGACTAACAGTCTAAGAAAATATATAACAACTTTTTGCATCCCTCATCCTAAACCTTATGTCATTCAAAAATCTAGGAAATAAACAAACAATACTTTTACACAACTGTGAGATAGATAACAAAAAATACGATCTTGTCATCACACCTCATACACAAACAGTTGGATACATTAGAACAAAACGACAAACAATAAAAAGAAAAATTATAAACAAACAAAGACAAATCACACGAAAAAGATTTTCAAAAAATAGAAACGCATTTTCAGAAGCCAGCAATTTAGATGAAACAAATTAAAAGAAGCAGTTGATAAAAAGTGTCCCATTCACGATCAATTATATTTTTCCGATTCAGAAATAACTTCAAATTCATCAAAAAGAGGAAAAAGAAGATTAAAAAAGCAATACAAACACAAACCAGTACACTTGTATAATTGGAATCAACCAATTAGACACATTGATAGTTATATATTAACAGTCATGAAACGAAAAAATGAGCCACACTCAAAGTGACTAAGAGATTTACCCCTTCCTCATAGATGCACCCGATAATAGAGGGCAACATGATTTTTGCAAGAATTTACTCGTAAATTTGTTTGAACCCGGAATCAGTCCATGCAAAGCAGAATTCCCAGATGTAAAAATCAAAAGACAAATTATTGAACATTATTTGAAAGATATATGTAACTTAACACAACAATATGGAATCTAAACCATAGAATTCAGCACACCAAATACGAATCATCGTAAATACGTAATTCAAACAGATGATCTTGAATTAGATTTTTCAAAAGTATTCTTAGAATATATCAAAAGCATACAATATCATAATTCACAAAGAGCAAACTCTATATTCACTAACGAAGTTTTTGCAATAATATATACCTATATTTCTATATTAGAAAAAACAGAATTTCAAAGAATCTCACCAACTGAAACATGCAAACATACAAAAGTACGACGGGAAATCACATTATTTTCAACCTTCCCACATATAATCAAAGAAAATTTCACTAAAGATGATGTTTCACAACACACAAAACATGACTTACAAAAAATTTTGGCGTGGTTTATAATAGATTATTTCACACACAATATAGACTTAATTTCACAAGCAAGAAAAAATTTTAGACCTCAAAATCCAAATGATGATACTGCCATTACAGAACAATCAGACTACGTTTGGGACACTGAATGGTCTCATCCTACATTTGAAAATATCCCACAATCTATTTCAAGTCAAGCAATAAGTACAATATCTTACCACAGAGATTATGTAAAAGTAGTACCACTAACCATTGATGCAACACCATTAAACTACAATACATTTTTACCTGATACACGAAATAACAGTTTAAATTCGACTGTCATACACAATGAAAACCTTAATGGAACTAGAAATTGTACACAACAAGATATTCAAACACCATCACACTTCATAAATGAAGAAGTTGTCCAAACAACAACAACTACACAACAAAGTATTTCACCAATACATCCAAATTTAACAACACCAAGAATTACAAATACTTCACTGGCACAAGTAACCTTATAATCAACCGTTGAACCTTCGGTTGCTCCAAAATATTCACATATGGATTATCAAACATATAGACCCATGACAGTACCATCAAAACCACGAAAAACGTTCACAAGAAACACTTTTGCAGAACACAATTATAATTAAGCACATTCGTCAAAAACAAACTAATCCCCACGAAAAAACAATAATCATGTATGTTCTCACTATTGGGATAACCCAATGACAACAACCAACTCAGTAAATTTTCGAACTAATTCACATCCTCCACAGGATCATAGTGAAAATTACCCATTCTTTCAACAAAATAAAAATAAAAAGCAAGCACCTCATCATACAGATTACTTATCATCTGATGATGATTATTTACAACCAGACATTTTTGCACCATATACACAAGAATATCGCACACAAGGATCGCGACGACCTCATACATATAATAGAATTTTTTCTCCAAACCCAACAGATACACGAAATCAACAACCAATACATATGCCAAATTCAACTAATACACAATCTTCTCAACCGATTCAACCACAAAACCCAATGACTATACACTCGTATCAACCAACTCAAATGCAAAATGAAATACCACTTCCATATTATCTTCAGCATGACGAAATAACAAAAAACCAACTTTCAAATTTTACGCAAATGCCAAATGCCGCAGAATCACTACAAATGACAATGAATCCATACCTCATGGGTGGATCATCAATAACATCAAATAAACCGCTGATGGTATTTACAGGAACAGATCCTGAATATTCTGTAGAAAACTATTTAAATGCAGTAACAGCAAATTTAATTTTAAATATAGGACCTGAACCAATTAATACGCCACTACATCAAAATTGGATACATAGACGCACAGCATTGATACAAACAACTTTAGATGGCGCAGCTCAAAAATGGTTTTCAGTATTACCTATAGAAATAAAATCAGACTGAAAAAGATTTACACAAGAATTTTCAAAAATGTTTGACTCCGAAAGAAATAAACAACACCAAAGAGTTTCATGTAATGAAATTCGCAGATTACCAAATGAAACCATCAAACAATTAGCAGTACGTATCGAAACACTAGTACGAAAATCATATTCACTTAATGCACATGACTATAAAAACACAAAAATGACAGAAATTTTAATGATGACCTTAACACCTCAATTAAGGAAAATAGCAATAAAAAAGAGAGCATCTCATCCTTCCTCAATTCGAGAGCCAGATTTAGATTTTCGAAAACTAGTTGACAAACTAGAGCAAGCGGAAATCACAATGAAACTTGAAGAAACAGAAAATCTAAAACTACAATATGTTAATCGAATTGAAACAAACACTACACATATCAATAACATAAAGGAATCAGATACAGACCTAGTTGAAAAAATCACTGAAATACTAAATATTTATGAAAAACACCCAAATTTTAAAGGCAAACCATCTTTCAAAAAATGGTGTAATTATTGCCGACGATACGGACACAGTATTTCCGAATGTAGACAAAAACAACAAGATAACCAAAACAAACCTCAAAAGCACAAAGAACCAAATAAATCGTTCTAT